CTAAACTTTGGTTCTGCCTCGGTGTGGAAGGACAGTCCTGAGAATGTCTGTCTGAACATTGCTTAAACCTCTGTTGCAAGCAATTCTGTTCCTGTGGCCAAACTTACTCCTTGCTGAAGTCCCTGCAGGTACTTAAGGTCCAAACAAGTCTATTCCCCAAGAAACACACCTGTGCACTTTGTAGGGCAGAGATGAGTTATTCTAAATAATGTCATGGGAATTCAGAATATTCCACAAGGAAAATCATGTTAAAACATCAGGCTGGTAGTTAAAAATGCCACCTTTGTTGCAGAGACAGAGGCAGATGCACCAAGGGCCCTGATGGCACAGAAACTGGCAGTCGTGGAGGTGTCTGGGGGCTCTGTCTGTGTGGAAGTCACAGCTTGTAGAGAGATGCAGAGCAGACAACTTTTACTTGCAAACAGAAGTGTGGATGTTGGGGAGGCAAGGGCAAGAATCTTAAGTCCAAATATACAGGCTAGGCCCAGTTGTTTGCTGAGGAACCCATTTACTGCTAGTGTTTTAACTAACTTTAGTACCAACTGTTAGCAGTAGAATCAGTGGTTTAACAGTGCCAACACTTTATTCTTCCATAACATGAACCTCAAAAAGATGCTTGCTAGGGCCTTGAGCACTCTAGGCTTTAACCTCTAGGCAAAGACATGTAGCTGGACACATAACTCAGGCAGAGACCAACAGTTCCAATCTGGAACTCTCAAGGGAAGACAAGACCTCTCAGAAGGTTAAAACTAGGATTATTCAACACCATGCTCAAGAGAAATTAGGTTTACAAATGCATCATCTCCTACTTTTCTGAAGAACACATTGGTTTGATTTTGGGCTCGTCTACACCAGGGGAAAAGTTTGAAGTGTACCTTAAAGTCTCTGGCCCAGATAGGCTATGAGACACAACTTCTCAGCTGTATCAAGGATAGAACATAATACTGTAGCCAAGTGCAGGGACTTCTCTTTCTTCATGTGCCTTTTACACTGATCAAAGAGTAAGTCTAAGCTGCACATGCAGTTCGGAGGTAGTTGTGGTTGTGTAAAACACCAGAAATGGCACCACAGCAGGTTCAGCTGTTGTTCTGCTCTGCAGCTGTTACCAGCTCCTTCCAACTGAACTTGCTGATGATTTTGTCTCTCTAGAATTTTCTTTCCATTGAGCAAAACTTGCTGCTTCCTCCAAATCATCATCCACTCTGTAGTGCTCAGACTAGGGAAACAGCCACTGGGGTGAGACAAATGCTGTCAGGTGTTGAGAGGGTCAGGGAAGGAGATTGCAGTGCCCTGGCAGTGAGGTGAAACTCTGTCACACCCATGACCAAACACTTCTTCCAAACTCTTCTTCCCTGTTTTCTGAGTTAAGGTCGGGAATTTCTAGGCTGTGGGTTACTTGTCCTTTCTGTGTAGCTTACTGTACATTGGGTGAGTGATGCAAGCTCTGACCTATAGCCCTTGCTGTGGGGTTTTCCCTGCATAGAGAGGTCACACATTGGGTATTCTGTTGGTGGACAACAGATCACAGGATGGGCAAGGTATGGGATAGAAATCCTGTTATTCTGGGCAAACAGATCCTTGGGATCAGCTGCAGGAAAAGCTGAAGGGATGGCAGTGTTGGCATGTGTCCTTCCCATCTCCAAGGGCACAGAGTACCTGCTGTGCCAGCTGGGCTAGTGAGTTCAACCTGTACCAGCCCAACTGCTCTGACATGAGCTACGTTTACAGGAGAACTGAATTTTAACCTGAGTCTGACTCCCATTTATTCCCCTTTATTTCCCAGTTAACTCTGCAAAGCTCTTAGGAAATATCTCCCCATGAAATGTCACAACTGACCTCTTCCAACTGCAATTCCTTCAGCTTTGGAGTGGTTTTGGAATTGCATCTTGTGAGATGTTGTGAAATCAACTTTTTCCTTGAAACCAGCCTCTGGTGATGGTCACTGAAAGATATTTCAAGGCTTTGTTTGCAAAAAGGTTGAATCAGATTCATCTCCTAGGGAAGCAAATATCCAGAGTATGAAGTCAGAGCACAGTTTCTTCATGTGCCTTTTTTGATTTCCAGGTCCATAATGTCCATGGAGCATTCAATGCCTTGGAGGGAGCAGATAAACTCAGCTCAAACCGTATGTATTCTTGGGGATTACAGGTCTTAGCCACTCCCTGCACGGGGGAAACAGAGCTGTTCCTGCAACACTGGTGTGTCCTGAAGTCTTGCATTTGCCTCTTTGTCTCCAGATGTTGCTGACTGACATTTCAGTCATTCAGAATTCTGTTTTAAAGTGTTTCAGCAGACAAAAAAATGGCCCAAGCCATTTAAATTATGAAAATAAATGGTGAAGCAGCTGTTGGGGAAGGAAGAAAGAGATATGGGTGTCCTAGAAATGAGGCTACAGAGGTTGTGATGCCTTTGCACGAAGCAGCTCAGTGAGTGCAGCTGTAACCTTAGCTAGTTCCTGGTTTAACCAAGCTCTTGTGGTGGTGATAACTCTTACCATTTATAGCTGCAAGCAGTTGGGAAGGTTCAAGTAACCCAAACTGTGTGGGCTGTGGTCCTACAGAGGTGGTGGGTGGGTTCTGGTGTCACCCAACTACCTTAAAAGGTTTTGTGCAAAGGACATCAATGTAGGATGTGAAATTGTCTCTTTGTCCCAGAACCTGAGCTAGAGAGGAGGGAGATCCCTGTTTAGTGACTGGTTTTACTTTGTAGTCTTGTGTAGGCTGTGATCCCTTTTTCTGAAGGCTGATGGATGCTTCCCTTTCCTTCCCTGACCACAGCTCTTGCATCTCACGATTACATCCTGAAGATAGTCCCAACCGTGTACGAAGACATGAGCGGGAAGCAGCGATACTCCTACCAATACACGGTAGCAAACAAGGTGAGAGAGCAGGTAGTGCTCAAGGAAGCTCCTCATTGCAGCCCAGTGGATGTGTGGAGGATGTTCAGCCACCATTCCCTCCCCTGGAGCTCTGTGCAGTGCTGTTCCATGTGTTTGTAGGTGAGCAGTAGCCTCTGCTGGGAGAAGGAGGAACTGAAGCTCTTCAGAGTGATTCTCCCTGGTTCTTCCAACCAGCGTTGGGGTTGGGATTGCCAAAGCAGGTGGTGGTATTGTTTTCATTCCTGAGACAGGGATTCTTCCTCCTGACTTTCTCATCTGGCAGTTCAATCTAGATTTCCTTAGGTTGTGTGGAAGGGTTTTGCATGCTGCAGGAGCTCTTGGTTGGGTGTAGATGCATCTGAGTGGAAACTGTAGTGCAGCTGAGCACACAGAACATCACTTACACCTGGGTTTAGTAATGAAACAGTCTCAGTTGTGATGGATGTGTCAGACAAAAAAATTAGCAGTTTTTAGCTTTGTAGTGTTGATTTCAGACATGAAGCCACTGAACCTGTGGTAGCGAATATGTACTGGTTGGCTGTTTTACAGTGGTACTGTGTTATCATGGAATCACTGAGGCTGGAAAAGACCTCCAAGATCATCAAGTCCAACCATGACCCATCACCACCTGATCAGCCAGAGCAGAGCACTGAGTGCCACGTCTAGTTGTTCCTTGGACACCTCCAGGGATGGTGACTCCACCACCTCCCTGGGCAGTTCCAATGCCTGATAACCATTTCCATGGATAAATTCCTCCTGATGTCCAACCTGAACCTCCCCTGGCACAGCTTGAGGCTGTTTCCAGTTGTCCTGTCCCTTGTTCCCTGGGAGCAGAGCCTGATCCCCTCCTGGCTCCAACCTTTTGTCAGGAAGTGTAGAGAGTGAGGTCTCCCCTGAACCTCCTTTTCTCCAGGCTGAGATGATTATAGCTATTATAACTTTATAATTCTTAAATTACTTAACATTCACTGTGAAAATATTTGAATTTTAACAATACAATGTATTAAACTTTTATTTTAAAGGGAAAAAAAAGACCCAATTTACATTTTAAGGTAAAAAGCATATTTCAGTTTAAAATGATTTCCCAATCAGGTGCTAAATGAAAGCCCCAAATCTGTTTATAATACCTAATTACCACTAGTCTGAAAGAACTAATAATCAAGCACACACTCTCCTGGACTAGTTCTCAGCCTAATGTTCCTGTCTAGTGACTTTTGGGCTTGCTTGTACAGCATGTCCCAGGGATTTGGACATCTCCCTCTGTTCAGATTACAATGTATTTGTTCTGCTTAATGTCACAACTGCTGTTCTGATAAGGCTCTTGCAATGCAAGGCCTGAAAGTAATTTGGAAATTAGACAGCAGGAGCTTTTGACACTTCTGTGAGCTTGGATGCAAACTGGGGCGTTCAGCCAACTCTGACTAATTAGGGCAGGATTGCTGGGGGGGGAAAAGGGGAGAGAGAGAAAAAATGAGGTCAGTTCCATCCCAACTGAAGTGCAGAGAAACAGTGCTGCCTCTGCGTTTTCTTCTCTAGCCCTTGACTCCCAGGCTGATCAGTGGGAAAGAGAAATGGGAAGCCACTGGAATAGTCTGGCACAGAGGGGCTAGTATGAATAGAGTCTCAGGTTTGGGCAGTGTCTCCTCTCTTACCTCCTGACCCTCTGTGTCCTCACTTCCCCACGTAACCACCCCAAGATGTGCTGCAGAACTCCACTAAGAGCCCTTAAAATACTCTGTCTAGGGACTTCTGCTTTGCTTGTTTCCCATGGGAAAAGCTTAAATAGAGGGAAACTTGGGATTAATATATAATAATCTTCCTTTGTATAGTATTACTGAAGGTAAATGTTTCACTCTCTCCCTCTGAGCTCACAGAGAGCCAAGTTATCTCTTCTGTACCATGCTCATGAGATTCCTATTGCTTGTCCTTCCTTCATCTTTCTGAAGTGTTTGAGGTTGTCTTTGCCTCTGTGTGGAGGAGAATTAAAGCAGAAGATGTGATCTGAGTTGGCAGCATGTCATGGGGCTGGAGGAGGGAAAAGCAGCAGGGAAAAGGGAGAGACAGTGTGTGCCATGCCAGTGCCAATGGCTCTCCTTGGGTTTTTAGGTCCTTAGCCTGGAAGGACTCGATTTTTCTTCACTCTGTGAAGGTCCTGATACTTGAAAACTGATAGCTATTTCCACAGGCAGAATATTAGTTAAAAAAGGTGTGACTTTTGATGGTAAGATGATGTTGGTGTCTGTTCTACACTGGCACTGTGCAGTGTGTCCTGTGGCTCATGGATGGCACTGGACCTGCTAGTAAAGAAGTTCATGGCATTGTAACTGCTAGTAAAGAACCTCATGGCACTGCAGCTGTTAGTCAGGAAGTTCATGGCCCTGTACCTGTTACTAAGGAAATTCATGGCATTGTATCTGCTAGAAAAGAAATGGATTAAAGGAGATTTTCACTGCCAATCTGACTATGTCTCTCCAAACCAGCCTGCAATATTTTTTTGCACCTTTGCCAATATCTTTCTATTTACAGCTTTATTCTGGTTTTCAGCATGAGTTTTAAACATGGTTTAAACATGGCTCCACATGGTTCATCCTGAGTGGGCAAAGCATTCCCACTGTTGGAAGGGAGGGAGCCTTGCAGAGGAGTGCAGGGACGAGGAGGATTTGCAGGTTCTTGCAAACTAAATTCCATTTGTTTGATGAATATCCCAGTGTATGATTTATGTACAAAATACATACATGATATTATTTGCAGTAGAAAAGCTTCAGCTCTAATCATGCAGTTTGTATCTACACAGAGCAGATGTAAGCTAGAGAATCCACAGCCTTTCTACTTGCTTCTAGAACTGAACGAAGGTGAGAGCATCACCATCACTCTGTTCCCAGCTCTGTCACTATCAGGCTGGAAAGACCTTGTTTCCCTGTTTGATAAGGATTGGGGTGTGCACTCCTACAGGAATTCACTGTTTGCTTCCTTCCCTCTGATCCTTAGTGCAGCAAGAGCCAAATCCACAGAGGCAGTTCTATTGCAGGCACTCTGAGATTGCTGACATTTTCTTCCCTTTTTAACCCTGACTTTCTCTTGCAGGAGTACGTGGCCTACAGCCACACAGGTCGCATCATCCCTGCCATCTGGTTTAGGTACGACTTGAGCCCCATCACAGTGAAATACACAGAGAGGCGACAGCCTTTGTACAGGTTTATCACATCGGTGAGTTCCCCTGAACCTCTCATTTTCCTCTCTCTCCTGCCTGCCTTTCACTCCTCTCCTCAAGCCTTTCTTGCCCATGAGAAGTGAGTTTCTGCTTCAGAGCCCTGTGATGTGATGGAGATAAAGCAGCACGTGGCTGTGGTTGTACTGGAGTGTGAGGGAGCTGACTGGGAAGCTCAGTGCTGTGACAGCTTGATTTCAGAGCTAGGCATAAGGAGAAGGAAAATTATCCTGTTCCAGAAGTGCCAGACTCTGTCTAAGCTCTACTGCAGCATGGCAGAAACTTGGGAGTAAAGCTGTGGTGTGCAGTAAAGCTGCAATAAACCACTCTAATGATGGGATTGAACATGCAGAGAATCATAGAATGGTTTGAGTTGGAAGGACGTTAAAGATCATGTAGTTCCACTCCCAGCTATGGGCAGGGACACCTTCCACTAGCCCAGGTTGCTCCAAGCCCCATCCAACCTGGCCTGGAACACTCCCAGGGATGGAGCAGCCACAATTTCTCTGGGCAACCTGTGCCAGTGCCTCGTCACCCTCTTCCATACCAAAGTCATCCTGTTCTCACCTAGAGAGAATTCATGTGAGGGAAGGGAAACAGTTAGATGACCCAGAACTGTCTGTCCTTGCTATCTGCTGGTTAATTGGGTGAATTTTACAGCAAATAGGTACAAAACTGGCACCAGAGATTTCACCACCAGCCGCATCTCTCCTCCCCTGCAAGGCACTGACTGCAGAGCAGTTGTTTGACTCAGTGCTAATGCTTGGCTTAATATGGGAATGCCAGATCCAGGTATTTACTCCTGGGTAGAAGTGCATAAGAGCTGCATTATCAAATTCCAGAGGTGTTTTCCTGACGAGTTACATTTTGATGTATCCAGATAGCATCCTGCAGTCCTGAGCTCAGCATCTCTAGCAGAGCTGTGCTGGCCAAACTGCTGCTTAGGCAAAGAGCTATTTAAAGATCCACCAGAACTCCTGTCCTCAGGGAGTTGGGCTTAAAACTGAAGCTTCAAATTGGCTAAAAATTGAATGAGGGCAGTCTGCAGTGCCAGTGAGGCATGGGGAAATGGGAAGTCATTGATAAATGAGCTGGAAGGAAGACCTTGAATTTGGATTTTTAAACTGTTCGAATATGTCAGTTGGAAGTCACATAAACTGTGTGGCTGTTTGCACTTCAAGATCTTGGTTTTGCAACTTGTGATAAACAGCAAGTTCCCTTCACTTTAGGCATGTTTGTGATCTCTAGGGCACACAAACAGCAAGGGAAAGGGACTTGAAGCAACATCTCAACATTGTGGTCTAAGACTTTCTCTTCTTAGCACTTCTGGTTTCAAAACAACCTTAAAAAAGGGCCAACATCAGCATTTCATAACGTGGCATGTCATGCTACCTCTGCTGCTTTCCCTAGCAATGTGCTTGCAGAGACTTCTTATGCATCTTGTCAAGGGTGTGGAGGTGTTTTGAATGGGAAACAGGGTTTGGGAATCATGGATAACTGGGATTATCCTTTGTCATGTCCCTCTGCTTCTGGCTGATATGCCACTGTGTGCATCTGTGTTGGATTTGATACTGTGCTTCTGAGTTTGCATAAGGGATCCACAGGAGAGTTTCCTCACTGGTTGCCACAGAGACCTTTGGGATTTGTATCTCATTTGGGTTTGTATCTCACAACCTCAAAAACTGAAAGTGTTTCCTACTGAGAAGCCAAAAATGCAACGGCAGATTCAGTTTTATTTCCAAAAGGATTTAAATGTTGGTTAGTCCTCATCAAGTATGGAATTAGCATAAAATAAGGATGTCAGTTGCTCCTCTCTCCCTCCCCAAAACAAAACTCCTCTCCATACACCATATCCTCACTTCTCTAAGTCTGAATTTTGAATCACTGGCCCATCACTCTGCCCCATCCTGTGTTTCAAGTCAGCTGGGCACTGCTGCACTGCTTAAGAAGAGTTTAACAGTTGATTTTTGACTACGTTGTTTGGTCTTATGAATGGCTATAGTGACAAGCAGCTCTCTTGGGGCCATCCCAGTCGACTGTCCTTCTTGTGGAGGTGTGTGGATGACAGATCCCTGCAGTAGCTGTTCCTCAGTAGGTCAGTCAGGTGTGCCAGGGCCTCACCAGACGTGGCTGAGGTGGAGGCAGGTCCTTGTCACAGCTCCAGGTGTCAGTCTGGGCCATCTGGCCCTGGCACAGATGACCTGCTCTCCCTCTCCTTTAGGCCGGGAATGTTGTCTGTAAGGGCACCCTTGGCTGTGTGCCACACTGAAAGCTTTAGGTGGCATTGAAAAGGTTGGGAGGGAGGAGCAGTGCTGCAGAGGATCAAAGCACCTTTGTCCTCGGTCTCCTTGCCCTGTTTGGATGACATGATCTGTTCCACTGGGCTTTAGCCCCTTCCTGTGTCTCCTTTTGCATCACAGTTGCTCTGGAGACCAGCTGGTGATGCTCAGCACTGGGCTGAGGGCCAGAGGGACTGGGTGTGTGGAGTCCTTGCCGAAGCCAAGTGGCCATGAAAAGTAGCAGCTTGTTCTGAGCAGCAGCTGTTGGATTTAAAAACCACAAGAGAGGCTCTGGGGCAGTGGGGGATCACCTCAGGCTCTTTTCAGGGAGCAGACTGTTTATTTGGACACCCATACAATTTAATCTGGGCATGGGGGATGTTCCTGTGGGCTTGGAAGAGACTTTAGGGGGGCAGCAGTGTCAGTCTTGGAGGACAGGACACACTGCTGAGGGATGATCAGTGAGAGATAGAGGAGAGAGAGGTGTTAGCTGCTCAGCAGTGAGCCAAAAGCATCTCCTGCTGCTGCTGGGAAGGTAGTCTGATGGTCTTGTTAGCAATGAGTTTGCCCTCCAAACCTTCAGCTCTGCTAAGAGCAGCATTCCCAGATCTTCTCTGTTCCCACTCTAACTCATGTCTGCTCCTGAGCTTTTTATGGTATGAAGAATTATCCTGATTTTCTGTACCATTCCTGTCCAGGAAAAAGGCATTGGTTCAGCCTGGATTTTACTTTACATCTCTTGCTCCAAAAGGTTCAACACTAAGTAAGGTTTTGTATTCATTGTGTGTCAGAGCTGCCACAGTCACTGTTCTGGGAGTTTCCAGGGATCCTGGGGTGAACCACAGACACTTGGCAGAGTGTTAAACACAGTAGGCTTTGCCTGTTAAACTGCACTGCTTAAAATCAAGGCACCTCCCCGTGAAGAGAAGCCATTCAGGGCCTCAGGGTTGAGGTTGTGGAACAAGGGGAAAAGTGTCAGTGCTGTAAAATTGATGAGTTCCTGTAAGTGGCCAAACTGAAAGAAGGTTCTGTCATGAGGTCAGACATGGGGCTGGGAGTGGAGGGCAGGCAGGAAAAAAGCCAAAGTTCAGCTGAAGCAGTCAGAATCCAAAGAAAAACTTTTTCCCTGGTATGAGAGGACTCACCTGGCATTCAGGTGTGAGAAAATTAAGCTGGAAATAATGTATGGGGAACTGGAACAGAGTGCTCACAGGCAGAATGGTTTCAGCCATGGGAACTGTTGCTGGCAGGTGTCAGATTCAGCCCTGTGATGTTTTTCTCTGTAAGATGTGCTGTGGGTCAGCCTGAAATCTCCAGGTGGGATTCTGCAGCTTACCTTGCTGGGAGTTCCCTGAGGGTCCCACTGTCCCCTCTGTCCTCAGAAGTCATTTTCAGGCATTAAGCCATCTCAGAGGTGAACAGTCACCTATCTGACACTTGCCTGGCTGTCACATAGCTTCCTACCTTGCCTCCTACATACCCACTCATGTTTTCCTCTAGGCATCAGTCTGCATCCCACCACTGTCCTGTAATCACCTTCCCTAGGGCATTCCCACATTGCATGGGATGGACCCTCGTGGCTGGAATTACTACACTTCTGTGTTTCTTCAAAGCCAGGTTGGATGAAGCCTTGAGCAACCTGCTCTGGTGGGAGGTGTCCCTGCCCAGAGCAGGGGATTGGGGCTGGATGATCTCTAAACATCATTCCAACCCCTGAAATTCTCTGATTCTATGACTCTTTCTCTTCATCATGTAATGATTATTCCTGAGTCAAGCTATAACCTCACGGAGCCAAACGCAGATCATGGTATAAAACCTCATTAAATATAGATAAATGCCTTGATTCCTAACTTCTTCAGGGCCTCCACATGTGTTAGAGCTGTGATGATCAAGAAACACTATGGTGCAGCTTCAGTGCTGCCCTAGAGCCCACGCTGGTGCTGCTTTTTGTGTCACAAGGCAGGGGAGGCAGCCCCGAGCGATGCCAGGTGTGAGTGACTCACACACACTCAGCACCACAGAGCTCTGCAGATGGAGATAGAGTTCTTTTCTCTTCCCCACCCCCTTGCACTGCTGCACTGGAATCAGATTTTCCGACCAGATGATGCAAAATCTTAGCATTGTGTTTGTGGTGTGGCATCTCCTGTCAGCTGAGCTGCTCTGGACTGAAGTAACCCAACTGTGGTGGTCATTTTCCCTCAGGGCACTCTATCATGCTCCAAGGGATAGGACAAGGAGCTGTGTTTGGCCCCTAAAAATACTAACTTTTCCTCTGGCTGGTGCTGATTTTAGCCTTGATCTGCTGCAAGGCCAAGTGTCCTGCAGAATCCACTTTTCCTGCAGCTCCTGGTGTCACTGAGCTCAGTAAATGATCATATCTGTTGGAAATACACAAGGAAATGAGCTTTAGTTCTTGCTGCCTTTGCTCACTGTTAATGACTTGTTTGTTCCTTTCCCCTGCTGAGCTCAGCTCAGCTGCTCTTATGGTGCTTGTTTGTCTGTGCCTTTGCCTGTGGGGTGTAGAGCTGTGTGGGAGAGGAGCAGTGACATGGTACATGTAATGTGGCACTGGTTCCATTCTGGGCCAGCTCTGTTGCATTTTTGTGACATATATACATATATCACAAAATCATTTAGGGTAGAAAAGACCTCCAGGATCAGTGAGTCCAACCTGTGACCCATCACCACCTTGTCAGCTAGAGCAGAGCACTGAGTGCCATGTCCAGTTGGTCCTTGGACGCCTTGAACACCTAATATTTTGATACAGATATTTCCCTGATGTCCTGCTCACTGGTTTTGGAATCCTCTCTCTCTTTGCCTCTAGCTCATAGCAAAATCTCCCATTTCCCTAAGCAGGAGGCCATCTCTGCATCTTGCCCCCTTCTCACTGCCCCTCTGTTGTTATTCTCAGAACACTTCACCCTACGCAATCTAAGAGACCAAATTAAAAGAGCATCACAGTTATGAAGTAAAAAATGTGGGAGTTGGGAAATGCCAAGTGCTGTGTAATTACAGCTTGGCTGGTAACGTTATTAGGTTAGTTATCGTGTCTCATTCTTTCCATGTGAGCACTGCCTGGTGCAGGGCACTGCTGGGGTGGCACCCTGGGAGGTCCTTCCCACCCTGTGGCATTTCACTGCTGCCTCCTTGCTGGCAGGTGGGTTGTGTTCACCCAGGCCATATGTCAGGTGTTTCTGGGTCAAAAATAGCATGGGCAGCAGGACCAACGTTATTAGGTTAGTTATCGTGTCTCATTCTTTCCATGTGAGCACTGCCTGGTGCAGGGCACTGCTGGGGTGGCACCCTGGGAGGTCCTTCCCACCCTGTGGCATTTCACTGCTGCCTCCTTGCTGGCAGGTGGGTTGTGTTCACCCAGGCCATATGTCAGGTGTTTCTGGGTCAAAAATAGCATGGGCAGCAGGACCAGGGCACAGATTGTCCCCCCCCCCTGGCTGAGGAACTGTGGGGTCTCAGCCTGGTGAAAAAGAGGTTCAGTGAAGACTTCACTCTCTCCAAGTCCCTGCCCGGAGGTGCAGCAGGTGGGATCAGGCTCTGCTCCCAGGGAGCAGTGGCAGGACAAGATGGCATGGCCTCAGGCTGTGCCAGGAAAAGTTCAGGTTGGACATCAGAAGGAATTTATCCATGGCAAGGGTTGTCAGGCATTGAAATGTGCTGCCCAGGGAGGTGGTGGAGTCACCGTCCCTGGAGGTGTCTAAGGACCAACTGGACATGGCACTCAGTGCGCTGGCCTAGCTGACAAGGTGGTGGTGGGTCACAGGTGGGACTCGATGATCTTGAAGGTCTTTCCCCACCTCAGTGATTCTGTGATTCTGTTTTCACCAGAATTCCCACACAGCTGTTGTCCTGCTAGTGAACCCTTCAAAGTGTTTTCCTTCAGAGTTTCCCTGGGAGCAGAGATGGGCATTGTCCCCATTGGGGATCAGGGAATTGAAGTAAAGTGTCACATAGCTCATCCCTGGTGCCACCTGACTATTGGTGCTCCAGACCTTGGGTTTGCCATGTCTCATTACTTCTGAAGCAGCTGAGAAGTGAAATAACGGTGGGTCACGGACTCGATGATCTTGAAGGTCTTTCCCCACCTCAGTGATTCTGTGATTCTGTTTTCACCAGAATTCCCACACAGCTGTTGTCCTGCTAGTGAACCCTTCAAAGTGTTTTCCTTCAGAGTTTCCCTGGGAGCAGAGATGGGCATTGTCCCCATTGGGGATCAGGGAATTGAAGTAAAGTGTCACATAGCTCATCCCTGGTGCCACCGATGATCTTGAAGGTCTTTCCCCACCTCAGTGATTCTGTGATTCTGTTTTCACCAGAATTCCCACACAGCTGTTGTCCTGCTAGTGAACCCTTCAAAGTGTTTTCCTTCAGAGTTTCCCTGGGAGCAGAGATGGGCATTGTCCCCATTGGGGATCAGGGAATTGAAGTAAAGTGTCACATAGCTCATCCCTGGTGCCACCTGACTATTGGTGCTCCAGACCTTGGGTTTGCCATGTCTCATTACTTCTGAAGCAGCTGAGAAGTGAAATAACTGTTATGCTAATCAGGAGATTAATTTTTTCCCCTAACTCTGTTCTTGAAAACAACGAGGTTAGGGTTAAATAACTCAACCTGAGATATCTTGTGTGGAAAACTTTGGCCCCCAAAGAGTTCAGTTGGCTGCTGTGAGCAACCTTTGTCATGGAAAGTGTTAGCCAGGCTGAGCTGTGGGTGGCACTGGGAGCTGAGTTTCTCTGTTAGTCACTGCCCTTCACGTGCTATTTCAGTGTCTTTGGCCTGTTTGCAAATGCTGCATCTTGTGAAACAGGGCAAAGACTCCAAGGCTGTGGTATTTGTGAAAGAAAACAGTAGTAGGAATTGATGAGCAACACAGAGCTTCTAGAAAGGTGGAGTTTAGCCTGGAAAGGAACAGCATTCATGCTTTAGGAGCTGGGATTCTTCACTGGTGATGAGTCCAGGATAGCACAAATTTATTCCACTGTAGGGAATGGCTTTTCTGAATGATTGTCATGTAATTCCATCCCCAGGTCTTGGTGCTTCCCGCAAACACCCCAGTAGTAGCAGTAGGATCCTTCCCCCAGCTGAAGCTGTGGAGAAGTTTCCCTCCTCACTGACAGACGTGTCTCCTCTCTCATTCCAGATATGTGCCATTATTGGAGGAACATTTACTGTAGCTGGGATCCTTGACTCCTGCATTTTCACAGCATCAGAGGCCTGGAAGAAGATCCAGCTGGGGAAAATGCAGTAGTGGTGAACCTCTCCCTTGGTCTCCAAGGACAGGAGCAACGATTGAGAAATCTACCACTACCTGTTTTTGTCTTTATTTCCTAATTGATCGAATCAGTATGTTTTTTTCTCTAATCAGGCTGTTCAGTGAAGATGTCTTCAACAAATCAAAGAAATCTCCATGCATTTCAGAGCTCTGAGAGGGAAAAATCAAGGGAATCAGGGTGTGGATTTCAGGGTCCCTCCCCCCAGAAAGAGAGGTTGAAATGCCATGAAGGATGACAGTGTGTTCCCTGGGAGGTTCCTGTGGCAGTGTACAAACTAGGCAGTAGATTGCAAAGGGTTGAACTGTCTTGTGACACTTTTTTTTGGGAGTTCTGTTGGATTTGCATGATTAGACAATCGACTTTTTGTATAAGGGCAAAGTTGTACATTAGGAAGAAATTCCACCCACGGTGCCAAAAAGGTGATGTATCTGTTGGTGAGGAATGGAAAGTGTTAGTCCCCACAGCAAACTGAAGAGACAAGAGGGCAGAAATCACATCAAGGAGTGTTTTGTGCTTTGATGGAAAGCTGAGTTGTTCAGATACAACCTTTGTAATGACATGAACAAAGGAGAAGAGGAAGCCTTCCCCCAGCTCCCTGTGCCTGGGTGACCTGTGATCCCAGCACTGGAGGGCATTTCTTGTACTCTGGATGTCAAAGTGGTTTCACTTCTTCCCACAAACCGAATATCCAGTCTTGTGTTTACAGGTGGCATGAAGTAAAAACCAAACTGAGCAACACAGTTTTATGTGGCCTTTGCTTTGAAAGGGAATAATTGTCTTTACAGCAGTAGCTTTTATTCTTCCTTATGTTTTTAAAGACAGACCACCCAACAGTCTGAATCCTGCACTTATGCTTTGTTCTTAGTGGTGGTGTTGTTTTGAAAGGAGGTTTTATACTCTCTGTGCTCAGAAAAAATCATGGTGCAGCCCCTCTGGGTGGATGAGCACAGATTCCCTCCTTGCTCTGTGTGTGTGTGTGTGTATCCAATACACCTGTCAACCACAGCAAGTCTGACTTTGCAGGATTCGAGGTGCCTCTCTTTTCCTTTAGAGCTCAGTCAGGCATCCCTCTGGGCTGACACTGTTCTCCACAGATACACCAGGAGCAGGGCAGCATTCCCACAGCTTGGGCCCTGCTTGGAGCTTTGTTTTATTCCTTCAAGTGGTACCTGAGCTTCCCTCTCCATCCCTTCAAGCCTTGTCTTCTGGGGTCTCCATTAAACGAGTGACTTACATATCCTGGTGGATGTGAGTTCACTGAAACTAGCTCAGTGCTTTTCCCACAGCCTCATAAATGTTCCTTGAATAGTCTCTGCATGCACTAGAAATGGCTGAACTGAGGGTACACCAACTCCAAGTGTTCCAGGATGGATAAAAAGCATCAAACATAAACCTTTTAACTCCCTCAATGCTGTAAATCCTAAGATGGGGTGCAGGGTTTCTCTTGGATCATATCTACTACCTTTTCCTGGAGGAAAAAGTAGCCAAACATTATTCTGGAATGCTATGAATCTTTGAATATTCAGTGTTAACGTTAGAGTCTGATGCATTTCAAAAGAATCCCTAATACATGTCTGTGGAAATTGTCTCATTGCTTTGGAAGTAGGGAAGGTGTAGAGAGTTTCAGCCATGCAAAAAGCAGCAGCCAACTGCCATCCCCTGCCCTGTAGTGACTTGGGACAAGAGACAGCATTGGAATCTTATTCTGGACTGATTGCTCTTCCTTTAGGTGTAAACTGGAGTGTGTAACTTCCTGTATCTGTTCGTGTATGGATAGATTTTATACATTGTTTTTTTTCCCATTTACAAAAATCAACTTGAAAATGAGCTGCTTTGTCTTCATTTCGTGTGTGTGTCCCTGTGGCTGTGAGCAGAACCCAGTCGATGAGACAGGATTTTCCACGCCAATTCCTTCTCTTACTGACTGAAGGATTTCCTCTAATCCATTGTGACCAGCTGAAGCTCCCAGCAAGAATGTCCTAGTTTAGGATGTGGGGAGTCTTTGCTCTCAGCCTGTGCATCCAGTGGGTTACAAAGATGTGGTGTTTAATATCCTTGGCAGTGCATCCTCCTCCTTCGCTGGGCAAGGGCAGGTCTGTGCAGTGGATTGTACAGTTAGTTGACTGAAGTTTCTCCCCTGGTGCAATGTCTTTGACACAAACAATTGCAGCTGATTGCAGATTCCTTGTCCCCCCTGGTGTGTTACTTCCATCCTTCCCCCTATTCCCTGTGTTAAACTGCCTCCTGCACAATCCAGGCCAGTTCTCTAACCCAGACCAGTGAAATTGTTTGGCTTTTCTGTTTGGAAAGAAGATATTTCAGCATTCCTCCTTTCTCTGCCAAAATACCCACTGCAATAACCTCATGAATCACATTTCGCTTTGCTACATGTGGAAACCAAATTGTGCTCAAGTCCTGGCAGAACTCAGCTGAAGAAACACACTGTTCCTTGGTCCTCTAAACCAGGTCTGAGCCTTTTTGTGTTGCCAAGCCAAGGCCACTTCTTGGGCTGGTGGAAGTTGTGGTGAGCTTGGCCTTCAGACGTGGCTGGCTCAGGTCACACAGTGGCTCTACGTCATGTGTTTACAGAAGAATCTGCTCTTCACCTCTCCAAATGTGAAAGGGAGGCAGTTGCTGCCACGTATCTCAGTAGATTTCACTCTTACTTGCAACTCTACAGAGACAAAAATGAGCTTAGTTATGCTTTTACACATCATTGCAAGCAAACCCAATGTCAGGTCAGAGTGGAAGAAACCATTGATTGCTCATCCCTCTTAATGCCTTTGCTCTTTCAGGTCAATGTTTTGCTAGAAGTATTTGGGTTTCCAAGAAAGACATCCCTGTAGGAAGTGAAATACTTGGAATTTCTAGTTTAAATTACTCCCTCTAACTCGAGGCTCCATCCTGCAGTGAGAACTCATGGCATAGGATGCTTTGCCACAGTGGAGTTCAAGCTTTTTAGCTCTAGGGAGAGAGCAGTGAGGTATATTCTAGGCAGTTTGTGGTCAGCAGGTGATTTTTTAAGGAGACAAAATGGAATGAAAAAAAATGGAACAGATGAATTGATGAATGTTTGATCTGATTTATCCAATATTTGCATTCAACTACTGCTCTGTAAGAAGTGAAGTCTGCAATGTCTGTGCTCAATTCCTGAGTGTTCCTCATTCCAAGCTGTTCTCTGTGTGCCACACAGGCTGTTGGGGCTGGCACTGGCTGTGACGAGTCTCTGTTTTAGCACAGTCCTCTGGAGGTGCAGCCTGAGGATGTCAGTGAGGTGTTTCCCCTCAGCAGGTGGGGGAGAGGGGCAGGGGGGAGGACACAGCCCTGCAGAGTGGTACAGACACCTTTAAAGCACAAACCTACAGTGGAGACTATCAAGGAGTTCTGGCATTTGTCTTTTTAATTTGCAACCTTATGTTAATAAACTCAGCCTTTTTAGTTCTCGAATTGAAAATAAAACTCTCATGTGTTTTGATTGGCTTCTTGTTGCTCTACCATTGCAAAATCAACCTAAAGGGGCTTTTTCCTTTGTTTTTTGATGAAGATTTCAGTGATCTGAGCATTATCACACGGTGAAATCACTGTAAGGCAGGTCACTGTGGTGAAAGTTATCACAGAGCTCTTTTGTAATCAGCCCTGAGTCATGTCTGGACGTTCAGTGCTTGGTTTTGTACAGTACTGAGTGTCCTAACTCCCAGTTCTTAGTGAGAGGTGAGTGGTCTGTGCTTGGGACTTATGTGTTTGGCTTTAGTCATTGCCCCTTGATTTGTGAAATAACCTGAGTTTTGTTTCTCCTTCCTTTAATGTCCTTTCAGCTTCACTTCAGAAGTGTTTAGAAATTAGTGTCTGAGGCAATTACTGAAGATTAAGTAGTAAAAAGTTACAACACAATGAATTCGGGCACTATCTGCACCATCTGAAGAAACCAAATCCCTTAACACTCTGACTTACATCAGTGTGTGCTGACAACAGCTTCATGAAGGAAGAGATCCTGCCTGCTTCCGAGGTTGGAACTCACTTCCAGAAGTGATGGATGAGGATGGAGGTTCCTTACTAAGTGAACAATGAGTGAAGGCTCTGGGGAAGTGTTTGTCCACCTGCTGCAACTCAACAGTCAGGAAACTTTTCCAGCTCAAATCCAAGCAAGTGTCTGTGCTGTGTCTCACCCAATTGATTGGTTCATTCCTACTGATTTTCCTGGAGAATAAATTAATCTGAGTCCTGAAAATATGGAATAGGAACACATCTCCCTGCAAGGCAAGTGGTGAGGGAGTTTATGGAGGCAGAGATGCAGGTGACACAGGCACAGGAGCAGGGCCTGGGTTGAAGCCCCAGGGAACTTGTGTCCCTTTGAGCTGAGGGATGTGGGACTGGTGTCCCTGTGGGCTGAGGGACATGGATTGGGCTGGGCTGGAGAGGAGGCACCAGTGGGATGTTCCTGTTTCCATCCACGTTCAGGAAGGGGCTGGACATGGAGAGAAGCAGCTGCTGCTGAAGAGCTCTGACTGAATGGAAGAGGTGCCCGGGTGGGTACTGGGTGGGTACTGGGGTCTGATGCCCAGGGATGATGCCCAGGTTGGTACTGGGTGGGTACTGGGTGGGTACTGTGGATGATGACCAGGTGGGTACTGGGTGTGATGGCAAGGGATGCTGCCCAGGTGGGTACCAAGTGAATACTGGGAATGATGCCCAGGTTAGTACCAGGTTAGTACTGGGTGGGTGCTGGGGATGATGTCCAAGTGGGTACCAGATGGGTGCTGCTGATGATGCCCAGGTTAGTACCAGGTGGGTACTGGGTGGGTGCTGGGGGCGATGCCCAGGGGTGATGATGCCCAGGTGGGCACATGAGGCAATGTCCAGGGGTGATGATGCCCAAGTGGATACTGGGGGCGATGCCCAGGGGGGATGATGCCCAGGGGGGGGC